GAACTGTAGTACCACAGCTGTATATCAAATTTGACTATCTTCCAGTGGCATAACCCCCTCTAGGTCTCATCGTCGGGATACGTGCTTTAGTTTGTTTACATTTTGTCTACGAGCCGTGGGTTGACTCTGTGATGCTCACACAGCCACTAACAATCGAGCAGACAACCCTATGTTTCACGAGAGACATAATTAATCTCTAGAACTGAAACCCTTCATGCGCGAAAACTAAGGCGAATGCATGCTCTTGCACTTCGACGACTTCAACAATCTCGATGCAGTATGCAGGAATATTAAAGTTTTATGCGCCAACACACATATCTCTGAAAGGAGGTTGTGTACGCAGATTATTTTACAAATAAAGAATGTTACAGAGCCATGCTGGTGGGCATATACAACTGGTTGAATTGATTTTTACCCAATAAACTGCCTTAAAATGTATTTTAAAAATTTAGTTAAAGATGAAAAATTTAATCGGCGCAGTACGACTGGTAACTTGGGACCTATAACGTTGCCAGGCTGTAGTGAGCACACTTCCGCACATCGTTACGATACTCATCCAGATCGAAACTAGTCAGCATGCGAATATGGCTCAGAATCTAGGCGTTCTGAAGAGCAAACTTCTGTGCCACGTACTCCAAAATACGGTACGCTCACACACTCACCCGCCGACCTCACCGCGCTCGTTTTTATCCTGATAATGTAGCAGTGAGAGATCGACATGCCCAAAACCAACGTCACGGTAGGCAAAGATGACGACCGAAATGACAGGGAGGAGGAGTCGTTCGCGGTGGTCAAACCAAGTGACCAAGGAGGAACAGTGCTACGAGAAAATAGAAAACAATCGCCCCCTCCGCCGCACAAACAGTGCGCGCAAGATGATTGCGTCATACGCACTCCAGCAAATGACATCTTTAGAAACGCCGGACGTAGTGGTCACCAAGCGAGTTGTTACGGCTGCGCAGCCGTAACAACTCGATGGCCAACTCGATGGCGGCACTAGCCGAGAAGATTGCCCAAGAGCACATCACGAAAAAACGATCGAGAATAAAATAAGCAACGCACTGCGTTGCTTATTTCTGTATTCAGCTGTATTCAGCTGTTGGCCAGAATACAAGTTGCAGCGCGTTAACGAACCGACGCGTTTGTACCACCTGTCAGCACAGTCGAGGCGCGCCGCCACGCGGGGTTGCGACCCTGTTTCTGTTACTTTCATTCGTGCTTAGAAGCACGCTAATGCTCTTGGTATACGGGCACACTAAACTGCAGTTACGCTTAACCCCAGTTACCGAACTGTACTCTGGGACAACTCTCTGTGGCTATGCAGTCAATGCTATGAGCGCGCGTGAGCTTCCGCATCTTCAGCTCTCGTCAAAACTGGGCAATCGCACTCTTCACTTCTTCTGAAATAGCTCTCTGAGATTATAGCACTTAAATGAGGTGACGCGAAACTGCAGTTAAAGGTGACTTAACTGCGATTAAGTGTGCCCGTGTAACTAGGGTATAACAGCCTTCTATCAATCCTCAGTTCGACTGGTACACACTCCCTTCACGTACTCATGAAAGCTATGTTTTAGTGGCCTGTAGTTTAATTTAACAATAATACAAATTCATCAAATGAGCGCAAATTCAAAAAAATTAAAATACATATTCAGGTGCCTTTGTCTGATAGGTTAGAAATATGTCTTTTGCTCAAAGTGTAATGGGGCCAGAAACCTCATCAGGCATCACGCATTTAGTCTCTGCTACCTTCCGGTCAGCGGAAAACAAATGAAGAAAGGAATAAATAAATGCATGAACAATAAATGTTACGAAAATAATTTATCCCCCCTCCCCTTTCTCTCAAATTTAACTCAATAATTTTTCATCCCGAGACATTTTCAGTTTGAAGTGTTCTTAAAGCTAGCTGCTATTTCAATGTGAACGTAAAAAACAAAATAGATGTACTCAAAATGTGTATTGCGGAAAATATGTTGTCAGGGAAACTTTAATTCTGTGATCTCTGCGTCTTCTTCAGGCACTTCAATGATTGTACTCGTGCGTGCAATGCCCTTTTCATTCCATAATTTAAAAAAAGGTCCAGTATAAAAAATTTAAAGCATTAGAGAAAAAATAACACCTATATACCACACAAGTAAAAAAAAAAAAAAAAAGGCTTCGTGCGTGGTAGTCACAATGGAAAATGTTGACGTGTCTTAACTTCAGGGTTTCTACAAACAGCCACCGAACAGCGACGCCTATACGATTCGACGCGAATAGTGTGGCGCAAGATTTATGCAATATCTAAAAACAAACATTTATGTTTTCAAGTGGTTTTCTGAAGCACAAGGAGGTTATGAGACAAAGCATTTCGCAAAAACGATCATGCGCCTGTACATTTTTATTGCACTGCCAACTTTAGAGATTATTGTAGCGCAGTCTTGAATAAAAAAAAATAACTGATGAACCGTCGTTGTGTTTATTTCTTTATGCCACTGGGCTCCACTGTAATAATTATATACCCGTCGCAATAACCTTACTCCAAAAAGGGTGATATCAAGAAAATAGGAAAATAATACAATCATCACTATATGATATATGACGTGGCCCCACCAGCCTGGAAAAATATTTCTCCATAAACTAATATATTTTGCTAATAAAAACCAGTAATTACCAATTCTCCGGTCAAACGAAACTAAACTTGAAAACGTCCTTGTCCTTTGTAAAAAGGGTTGTGCAATTTAGATGTTTAAAGAAGCACATATTATACGTTCTAATCTTTATTCTTTTTTCTTTTGAAGTTGATAAAAAAAAGATAGCAACAAGTGTTATGCTTTTTTTACGCCTGCACATTGCAAGAGCACATTCATCGTTAAGTATTATGTGGAACTGCAACGTATGTATATGCATGAGCAGAATGTGCCCTTTTCGTAAAATTTCTGTGTAGACGTGTGCAAACGTGGGCTTGAGTGTATGCATTTGCTTAAACACGTCCACCTTACACCTTACATGCATACGAATTGTGTGCATACTCAATGTTGATGCATACACAGATACGGATGCTGACTCCGGGTGCAGATGCAACACTTTCTTTTATAGATTATCACAGAGGAAGTCAAAGGGGACCGTGCGAATAAAATGAAATCGATATGTTTTACCATTTACTGATTTAGAAGACACTCGTGAATAACGTAAAATTGTAATGGCATTCCTTGACAACGTTGCATCTGTATGAGGACCACAAAATGTTGCTGAGTCAATTGAACCGCCGCACTAAATAAAGCTCAGGAATCCAGGAGCACCCCGGGACCCTCCAATCAATGTCATGTGAACCCTGGGCCGCACAGCATTGCTCGCTTTTTGTTCATCTGGAGGCGCCGTGACGTTGCTAGCGACGTCACAGCGTGCTATTGCATCCAGACGTTTCCGTAGTGAAGAGCATCCCTGGTACGAAACTCTATCCAAACCTACACCACCTCTGAACGCCAGAGTCATTTCCCCGTTTCTGCCGTTTCCGACTGTAGCGCCGCCACTTATATCCCGCCAAACCCGGGAACTGTTAGGCATTGTCGTTTGTTACTGTAAGTTTTTATTCGCTTAGCTTTCAGATGAACCCGACACTCGTCGCAGCTGCATAAGATGCGTTCCCGGACAGAAATACCGTTTGAAGCCCTTGGTTCGCTTATGCGTCACGAGAAATATGGTGATAACGACTTCGTCACCCTCATGTCCGAAGCTGTAAAGCAACAATCAATAATGACGTTGGCAACCTAGCCCACACGCGTGTTTCTCCTACTCTAAATCATGCAATGAAACCAGTGTTATTATGACGTGAAGCGATCTAAATCTCCTGTCATCCGCGCACGGGGAACGGAGGCGCTGCTGTCGCTAGGAGTCGTTTTGCCAGAGGCTAGCAGACGACGAGACAGTGCCCAGAGCCATGGGTTTTTTTCTTTGACGTCAGGGAAAAGCGTCCCCACTGGAATGCGCTGAGCTGCGCGGGTGCGTCGGCCCAGCCATCCTGCTCCGGCGCCTCCCCATCGACCGGCTTTGCGCGCTGTGACGTAGCGCGTTACGTAGCCGACGCATGCGCACACGATGACCTCGGCTTGTCACGAAACAACGCTAAACCCCGGGAACACCTCGCCTCTCTTGTGACGTCTGCTCCGTATTAGTAAGCGACTCGCCTTCCAACGGTCGCTAGGAGAAACCGGCTATGTCTTCACAAACGCGCCGGTTTTGACGTCATCAGTCTAGCGTAGGTGACGGACATGTGAAGAAAGAACGTGGGGCGAGGTAGGCGCTGACCCGTGTCTACTAAACGCATCAGAACCCGACATCACATGCAGACACACGTATCAATAGCTTCGGCAGCTTTAGACATGTCTGGCTCGGCACAGCGCATTTGTATTATGAGAGATGTCAATGTGCTTTATTCGTACCACAGACGGGAAGGACAGTTATCTATTTTGTTAGGAGCTGTCGCAAAAGGCATTGGCATACCTTTATAGTCCGTCACAATGTTTCGATGCACTGTAAGGACCCCAATTTAGCCGTCGTTCTGCTCTCATCTAATTCAAACTCCCAAGTCCACAACGAAGACGTAACGCACGCTTGTAAAACAACTGGCAGTCTTCAACAGTGCTTGTACATAAAGGTATACTTTCGAGCTTTTTATACTTTGTGCTTACGGAAAGAGTGAACCGCGTTGGGATTAACAGCGATAGGAAACTTTTATCTGAAAAGGCAGACCACTTCGATCCTAATTTGAATTTGGAGGAGCCCCCGTTAGGGCGCCAAGTTGAGCGCCTAGTTCAGCCATCTCTCCGCTGGGAGGCACTGCGCCCATCGCCGTCTCTGACGTCACCGGCCTCTGCCACCTCCGGAGAAGCGCCCGCGCCCTGGCGCCCCTCTCCCGTGTTGTTGTCGCGCCCGGTCTGCCAGCGGCCGAGGAGGGCGGTGCGTGTGGCGGCGGCTGTGTGGCGTCGTCGCGCGGGGTGTGGGGTGGTGGGCGGCCCAGGGCCATGCCCCGCAGCGGCCTCAACGCGTCGCTCATGAAACCCCTCGTGGTGCTCGCCTTCCCGGGCATGTACCTCGTCTACAAGATCAGCGAGTTCAAGCGCCAGCAGCAGGAGCACAACCGACGCAAGGTCACCGAGCGGGAGCTGGCACACCTCAACCACAAGATCGTAAGTGCGAAGGAGGAAAATCCCCCCCCCCCAGTTATTCCCCACTACAGCCATGTCTCGTTATTAGGGACACCTCCGTTCCCCCTGAAAATTGTACATAATATGAGTCGTCCATAACAAAGAGACGCAAATGCCTGTATGTGTCCAGTTGAACCCCAAACGTTTGTGAAAAGGAGGGCGGGAGAGGAAGGGATGGAGGCGAACCACTATTTCTTTTTACTACAGTCATATAACGGTCACATAAACATCTTCATTCCCTTTCCCCCACCCCCCTCCCTTTTCTTTCTAAAAAAATCGTTCGTAATGTGAGTCGTCCATATGAACGAGACATAAACGGATATATTCACCCAGTTCGTCCCCATGAACGCTCGTCCACATAGCGGGCTATCCGTATTAATGGGGTTCATATGAACGAGAGATGGTTGCACCTTTTTGAGAATGTCGTCTTCGCTCCACTCTAACCCAGGATTTTCATCCACGTCCCTTGTATTTTTGCTAGAAATTCTGAATACCGCCTCCGCAACGTTCGGTTCGTAAATCAGTAGATGCCTAACGGTACAATCGTAAGAGCCGATGAGCCATTCAAAACGGTTCTCTCATTTTATCTCCGCTTTAAATAGCCGCTTCAATAATCAAACTTGAAGTTTAACTGAGCAAACAGCGGCGTACAAGCCTACCATTCTGACTTCATGGTTGCAAAAACCACGCGCTGAAAGGTGTCGTCTCCTGCGTCGGTAGTCGAGCAGCGGGCGCCCAGAATCTCGGGCCGGCCAATCGTTCGCCATGCAATCGGAGTCGGCAGGGATTCTCTCCTCTTTCCTCCCGACCACTCCGGCGTACTCTCCCGAATTTTGAGCTTTCTCGGTGAGACACGTGACGTGCGGAGATTGAGTCCCGCTCCCGTTTCAGAGAAAGAAAAGTTTTGGTTGCGGTATCGCTCGCTGGTTGTGTTTGGTTTGTATCCTCTTGCGCTTCTTTGCTGCGCATCTACGTTTTGGTTACGTCTTACGAGGAGAGGCGTTTCTATTCAAATCTGTGTACTTAAAATAAAAAAATCCGCCTTTTTTTTTTTGGGGGGGGGGGGGGGGGGGGAGGTAGTGTTATATTAGTTCGGTGCTTCTTAAGAAAACGCTGGCTACTGATGTACACGCTAAAGATATCTGGAGTAATTATGAGTTTGAAAGTATCACAGTACCACGGATGAAGTGAAAATAATTGTGGAACATGTTCCGAGCTTGAAATAATGGTTATTCGTAAGTTCTTTTTCTTTTTTTTTGAGCTCGAGTTTCCGCTAGATTTTGTGGGCAGTGTATTGCCTGCCAAATTTAGCGGCCATGCGACATGAGATTAGCGTAGAGTTACGCTCATCACATTTAACCGCGACCCTCAAACAAGGCCGTAGACTTTTTTTGGTTTTAGCCGTAAAACACCGATAAACATTCGTCGGTGTACAAAAAATACACAATCAATTAAAGCAGAAAAACAAGAATAAACAACCGTCGTCGTCAAAAATGCAAAGTCGGTTAAAACCGAAAAACGCCGATGAACAACCGACGGTTACGAAAGTACAAAAATGGTTAAAACGAAAAAAAAAAAAAGCACCGATATATAAATCCATCGGTGTCAAAAATGCAAAGTCAGATTAACCAAAAAAAACACACAAATTTCAGTAAATATTACTTTCTGATATGACTAGTTTTGCTCAACAAACCTTCCCTTCATAGCCTTTCCACTCTTAATATTTCGTGAGATTTTCTTATCGATAATTATTGTGCTAAGCGTCCGCCACAGAACAGATCACCGAAATACATCGATATTGAAAAACAAAAATGAACGAACAACGAAAAGTATCCACCGATTTTCGTTATAAATAAACACCGGAAAATTTACGGCCTATACCTATAACACACTTTGCGATAAAATAACTGATATGCCGAGATTTCCGACTTCTGTAAGTGTGGCGGGTGGCAGCGATCTACGCAACCATTTAGACTTTAGTTGTAACCGAAGTAATGATTAAAATTTAAAAATGTAACGCTGTATAATCTATGCTCCGGATATTAACAGTGCAGAAAGAAACACGGCTGAAATTATGACTATAGCCCAAGAAACGTAGGGTGCAGCTAAATATGCTAGCTCACTCTTACTTTCTGATTGGTTTTGGCATTTTCATCTGCAAATGCTGATATCTCATAGGCTGCGGCGCGGTTATAAGATGCTCGGAGATTCGCCATAGCCTTCCTTTCTTAACGTATCATACTCGAAGCGTGCACTCACTAATCATTCGATCAATGTTGTGTTTGCGTGTGTGTGTGTGTGGGGGGGGGGGGGGGCGTTTGTTAATGTCATACAGTACCATCTTTTTAAATTTAGGGATCGTGATATATTTCTCTCCCTGCCTCTAACGAGAGTCTCTCCCGTGCGGCCATTTCCTTGAACAATTAGGCCCGGCTGCTCCGTGTGGCGGCCTCGCCGCCGAGGCCGCAGTTCGGGCCGTCGCTCCCAAGGTCTCCCGCTCTCCCTCTTTTTTTTTCTCCCCTGATTGGGGAGACTTCCCTCGTTTTCCTCCGCGGAGCCGAGGCCGAATGTCAGCCGACTCACGAAGGCGGACCAACCCGCTAACCTTTCTCCCCAATAGGTCACGGCAAAGTGCACCTTGGTCGCGGATTCGTTTCCCGTCGTTCCGCCCACGAGCCTCATAGCCGCTTTTTTGGTTATTTTGATTTGGCAGTTGATTTCTTTTTTTCTTTTTTGCGTGGTTCGTACGATTCCTGGGTTGCATATCGTCTTTCAGTTCGGATGGAAAGCTGGGCGACCTGGTTGAACGTGGCCACAAAAAGTAAGCTTCTAAAAAAAAGAAGAGCAAAAAAAAAAAAAAAAAGGTCAAGTAGGCTGCATAACGTTCCGCCTTCCATTTCTTTGTTCTTGTTTGTTTTTTGTTTTTTTTTAATTGTACAGGAGTTGTATATATGGCGATATCAAGACTAGGGCAAGTAAAGTCATAAACCGTCCTTACATTCATATGGTCATATATGACCCTATTTGTCCAATTCTTGGTATGACCATAGAGGGCCTTTCTGCGTGGCTTTTGGCGCGATTCATTTTTTGTCACTATCATATTTTTAGTTCAGCGTACCCCCTATAGTCAAGTGCTTTTTGTAGAAGCCTGTTTTTGATGGCATATTGTTTGTTGGGATTTAGTCAATAAAAATGACCAGTTCTAGATGGCGACACGCCCAGTGAACTCACAGCAATAAAGTATACGGGTGCTCCTTTCTCTTGGCGGGGCATTCTTGGGTTCCCACCACCTCCATAAAATTTGACCAATAAAAAGATTTATTGGCTTGGACATTTAGAACGTTAATATTAATTCTTTTTTTTTTTTTGACGTGTTGTCCATTATATTTGAGAAAAAACGGCGAACATTTGGGTGAATGAGACGTAATACAGCAATTATTGTTTTAAAACGCGGACTGACGGCGCTCCCTGATGCCTACTCCAAGGCGCAGAAAGAGGTCGTGTCGCGATCTTTATTTAAGTTTGCAAGAAAAAAATCGGCCACCCATTAGTGTAATTTCGGGGAGGAGAGGGGGGGGGGGGGAGTTTAGGATGCTTAGAGTCCCGTAGATAGAGTTGTCATCTACGGGATGATAATTCCAACGGGGTTACATGATGGAGTTAACATCATAAACAAACGATCACAGAACCCATTCGAGTGCCCCTTGAACAAAGGCATTTTGGGGTGAGTCGCAAGCGGCCTAATCTTGCTCCGCAACGAGTAAGTTGGTGAGATGAGCCGACAATAAAATCTGAAGAACGTGCCTCGAGGCAAGACTGCGAAAAAAAAAAAAAAAACTTAACTTGTGTTTTTTAAGTATTCAGTAACTCTATCAGAGTATTTTTTTTTTGTTCCAATTTACGCTCGTCTCGATTCTCGTGTACCCGTTTTTATGTTGCGAGAGCTTGGACGTGCGTCGCCCAGTTTTTATAGCCTGCGTCATTTGAATGTTTTTTTATTGATGCTGTCAGTTCACTAGTGGGTTTTTACCGGAGTGTGAAGGCGCGTTGCACACACTTGTAACCGAGTAGGACCGACTCAGACAAGACCGAATTTTAAGCCTCTTGCGACGACTTAGGACTGGATGCGCAGTTGCGAAGCTAGCGCCCTAAGACGTCGCAAAAGGCTTAAAACCATCATTGTCTCCGTCGGTCCTGCTCTGTTGCAAGTGTGTGAACGGGTCTTAAAGGTAGACACTTCAGACGAGGCCTGAATACTATAGGATAATCACTTACATGATGGTGTGAAATTCCCGACTCTAGAAAAATGTATCTATTGCTCAACGATGCCATTGATACCGATGGACTGTATACAGATTTAAAAGGTTAAAAAACGCAACAAAAAAAACAAGGACAATAAAGACAGAAAGACGACAAGACCCGTCCTATTGTCTTTTTGTCTTTACAGTTATCGTTTTGTTTGCGCTTTTTAACCTCTTAAATCAGTATGAACCAACTCGCCCAAACACAAGTTTAAATCCGACTGTATACACTTCTTTTTTGTAACGTTCATGTGGATTCGGTTAAGAACGGTTTGCTTTCAAGGAATAATTAGCGGTGAATATTGTTGACTTTTTTTTTCGGTCTTTTCTGACCTGTTGATGTTTCGACGTAATTTACATAGTTTATACCCTGTTTCAAACAAATAAAAATATCTTGATGTCCCCTGCCGCGATCCTCCGACACCTGGCGGTATTGCAGTATGCTCATATGCTTTAATTTTTTTAGTGTAAAAGTTGTTAGATGTAATCTTTTGTCGGTCCTCCACACACACCGACATAGCAGTTATACTAGTTTTATTGACTAACGAAATGGGAGTATGTACGGATCGACTTGAAAGCTTTCGAAACCATCTCGTGTCTTACATTTGCGCAAACAAAGCACTGCGCGTTCTTAGTGTGGATGTATGTGAAGGCTCGTCTCCAGTGAGATATACGAGGTGT